TTATCCAACTCTGGTTATCCAACTCTCTGGGGCCACGTGCCAGCTGCCTCTGGGAAAACTGGACAGGTTTTCCCAGAAAAGATGAAGAGAAGTCTAACACTCAGCTTTTGCTCTGGGGAATAAGTAGACTGAGGCACAGTAGGAGAGGGTATGGAGGAGGCAAGAAGGAAGAAATGAAAGCAGGCTGCAAGATCTCTAAGGTGAGTGCCAAGGCAGGATCCCATACCGCTTTCCACAGAGTGGGAGGTCCAAGTCAAATGGCTTTTCTCAGAGGTCCCCAGATGAACAGACAAGCACGTACATACATACATACAGAGATACATACATACATACATACACAGAAATACACACACCGATGGAAACACACATACACAGAAGCATATGCAGACACAAACACAGGTACACATTAATGTACACACACTTATAGAAGCACACAAATACACAGAAACAGAGACAGAAATACATAGAAACAGAAACAAAAATATACAGAAATGCAGCAGATACACAGAAATAGAGATACAGAGAAACACACATACCTATTTGAACACATGGACATACACAGACAGGCATACACACAGGAACATACACACACATGCACAGAGATAGACACACACACACACACACACACAAACAGAGAGAGAGAGAGAGAGAGAGAGAGAGAGAGAGAGAGAGAGAAACACTCAGACACAATAGAGCAATCCACAGAGGAAACCAACACACAAAGTTACCTACCCAGTCCTGAAGACAAATGTCCCCAGGGACAGACACACCCTCACAATTACACAAAGTAGCACACAGGATCAGGCAGCAGGCGGACAACCAGGAGGGAGTTTCCCACCATTGTTCTAGCCTGCAGCAGCTCTCTGTGCATAAGGCCCTGGTCTAGGCTGTTTGGGCACTGGGATGGATGAGGTTAGAAGTGGGCACTCTCTCGGGAGGCCAAGGATGTAGGAAAAGAGAGCCAGGAAAGAGAAGACTGTTGGGGGAGGGGACAGGCAAGGTGGGTCATTGACTAAAGTGGGTGAAAGGATCGAGAAAGGGGCAGAAGAACCTTCCAGGCATAGGAAACAGTTCACAGTCCTCCGCACTCCATTCTTCCTGTGCTGACCCCGCACTCAGGCCAAGTAGAAACAGTGGTCCCACCCCTCTAGATATCTGCAGCCCCCTCCTTCAAGAGCAGCATGGGAATCAATGGGTATAGAGAAGCTGTGTAAGCATTCAAAATCACACAACAGAAAGATAACCAGCTTATCTTTAACAGAAATCCCTCTAGGGACAAAGAACCACTCCACACCCACCCCCTGCTAGTTCCGGCAGAGAAGAGGAATCTTGCTTGGCAAAGGTCATGCCAGGGAGAACAGGTGTGGGAAAAGCTGTGTGATCAGCGTGCAGTCCTCCTGGCTGCTCTGCTGGGCGTTAGCCATACCCCTGTGCTCTGCTCCCATCCTTACAGAGGGCCTTCGGGACAGGCAGAAAGAGTGGGTGATGGAGCACGGCAGGAGCCTGGGAAGGACCTGAAGGCAAGGGCCAATCCTGCAAGCAGATCTCTGGCCAGGAGGCTCTAGTTTGTAGGATTTTCACAGTTGTTACCAGAACAAATGCTCGCAAACCTGCCAGAGTGATGGTGTGTGTTTGTAATCTCAACTGTTCCCAGACATGCATGGGGCTGAGTAGTAGAATTGACCGTTGAAGATGAGTTTATTCCTGATTATGTTTACTTACATGTGCTGTGGCACTCATGTGGGAGGTCAGAGGACAACTTGTGTAAGTCCATTTTTTTTTTCCACCGTGTGGGTCCCAGCGTTGAACTCAATTTATTAGCTGGGCAGCAATCACCTTTATCCAATGATATATCTTACTGGCCCAACTATTTTTTTATTTTTCAGATGTGGTCTCATGTGGTTAAGTCTGGTCTTGAACTCACGATGGTGCCTCGAAGATGGTCTTAAACTCCTGATCTTCCTGATTCTACCTCCTGAGTGCTATTATGGCAAGCACATGCCACTGTAACTGGCCTGAAAATGACATTTACAAAGGGTCCAGGGGTCAGGCATATGTAGTGCCTGTTATTCCAGCACTTGGAAGGTGGAGGCAGAAGACTCATGGGTTCGAGGCCAGCTTGGTCTGTATAGAGAAACTCTGTCTTGAGAAGAAGAAGGGAAAAAAAAGGAAGAGAGAAAGAAAAGAAAATGACTAGGAGGGAGCAAGAGCAAGTCTCTAGGTTCTGTTCCTAGCATCTCTGGGCTCTATCTCTAGCAACACACACACAAACACAGGCACACACAGACACACACAGACACACAGGCACAAAACACCAGGTATAGTGGTGCATATCTGTAATCCTAACACAGCCTAGACTATATCGCTCCCCTCCATCAACAAAAGAAGAAAACAAAGTGATCAAAAACCTGTTGAGTAAAGTAACACATGGGTTGGGGAGATGGCCCCACGGTTAAAGCACTTGATGTACACAGAATGAGGACCCGAGTTCCAGTCTCCAGAGCCAGTATATGATGCCCACCTGCAACTCCAGTTCTGGAAGGTGGAGACAGGGGATCCTCAGAGCGAGTTAGCTAGCAAGGCTAGCCACGTTGGCCAACTCTGGGTGTTGTTAAGAGACCTTGCCTCAGTGAATAAGGTGGAAGAATGAGCAAAGTTATTCCTGACATCAACTTTGGCCTTCTACATGCACACACTCATGCACAGGCACTCACACGCAGTACAAGCCCACATATGCAAAAAGCATGTGCACACCCACATACAGACAAAAAAAAATAGAAAAATAAAACAACAGCATGCACTCTTACCGTGTTGGAGGGCAGCTTACTCACTACACTCAAGTCCAAGTATGTACAAGAAGATGCCACAGTGGGGGCTCAGAGTCTGCTCTGAGTTCCAATATTCAGCAGGCATCTCTGGAACTCAGGTTCATGTCTGCAAGCAATACCATAAGGACCCTGTGGTGACACCGGGTCCCAGATGGTACTGAGTCATCACCCTTCTCAACGTCCTTTATTTCATGCCACATGTAATCTTGTTTATCACAGGAAGCAATATAATCAGGGGCTGATGAGATGGGCCAGGTAGCAAAGCACTTGCTGCTAAGTCTGATGACCTGTGTTTCAGTCCCTGGAACTCATGTGGTGGAAGGAAGTTCTCAGAACTGACTATTGCAAGCTGTCTTATGACCCCACATATAGACTGTGTCCCCACAAATAAATAAATATAAAAAGAAATTGTAGTATCATGGTCACAGATTTTAGAGGTCATGATAATGTCCAATTGTCCTGACCAATTTTATACCAAGCTATGGTCATCAGAGAATGGAGCTTCAGTTGAGGAAAGGCCTCTATGAGATCCAGTCCTAAAGTCCTAATTAATTTTTTTAATTAGTGGCCAATGGGGAAGGGCCCAGCCCCTTACAGGTGGAGCAATCCCTGGACTGGTTGTTCTGGGTTCTATAAGAAAGCAGACTGAGCAAGCCATGGAGAGCAAGCCAGTAAGCAGCATTTTTCCATAGACTCTACATCAGCTCCTGCCTGCTGGGTTTGAATTCCTGTCCTGTACTGGCTTCCTTAAATGATGAACTACAATGTAGAAGTATAAGTCAAATAAACCCTTTTCTCCCCACCTTGCATTTGGCCATGGTGTCTCATAGCAGCAATAGAACCCCTAAGACAGTGATCATTTTTGAATTACTACTACTACTGTGTTTTTAGCCCAGGCTTCATGGGTTCAGAGTCCAGCGTCCAATCTACAAGCCTGGCCACAATGAGCCCAAAGTCTGGAGAAGATCGATACAGGTGTCTGCTTCAGTCCCTTAGCTGGAGGCTGTAATGTTCAATCTCAGTTAACACCTTTGGGAGGGAGACCTGTAGATCTGCCTGGGTGTCCTCATTAGATGCAAATGGGAAGACCTGTCCACTGCGGTGGCACTGCTCCGTGGCTGGGGTGTTAGAGTATTTAAAAAGGGGATGGCGAGCTAAGCACCAGCATCCATCACTGTTTCTTGACTGCAGATGAAGTGTGATCAGACGCCCCAGGAGTGTGATCTCCTGCCACCCTGACTTCCCCTCAAGGACAGACTGCACATCTTGGAACTGTGAGCCAAAACAAATCCTTCCTTCCTAAATTGGTTTTGTCAGAGTGTTTTATTGCAGTAACAGAAGAGTAATTACATAGAGGAGAAGAGGGGGAGCAGCCCAGAGTTGCTTCCTGTGTTCTGTGCTCATCGGTTCCCTTAATCAGATGAGGCTCACATGGATGGGGAGATCATAAAGGGTGTGAAAGTCTGTGAGGGTGGGGGTGGGGGTGGGGCAGTAATGGGATACAGCTCAGTAGGAGAGCGTTTTTCCAATTGTGTAAGAAGTTCAGGCCTGTGGAAGAATCCAAGCCGTTTTTCGCCGAACCTATCAGTACATCTGAAAAACAGGACGCAGGCGGAAATGCAAAGCTAGGGCATCATAAAGAGATCTAGGTCTGGGAAGCGGGAACTAGAAGTTGACCAGCTGAAGCAGTAGTCTGAGAGAGCGCCCAGCAGGCGGTGCTGGGTTAAAAGGTCAGAGATAAGGTAGTGCAGAAACCAACAGCTTGACTGGAGTAAGGCCAGGTGCCCAGAAGGGCCGGAGCTGGGGCAGGGCCTGACAAAGCCGGCCTGGGGCCAGGCGGGGGACCAGACCTTGGAAGCAAGAGGAAAGAGCCTGAAAGCGGGTTAGGAGCGCAGCTAGGCTGTGCAGGGTAGACTGCCAAGGGGAGTTGGGGGCGGGTCCTGCAGGCGCCGGGGAGGGGGCTGAGGGCGGGGTTTGGAAGCTTGGGTCAGCGAGCCATAGACTGGGGCGGAGCCTGGTTTCTCAAGACAGGGCCGGCTGGAGGCGGGGTCTCAGGGTACGGGGCTAGGGGCTGAGGGCGGGGTCTGGCGGCGGCCGAGGATTGTGGGGCGGGCTTTAGGGAGGGACCTTGTGGTGTGGGGGCGAGGCCAAGACGTGGGCTGGGCAGTTTGGGGCACAGGGGTCTTAGACCCGGCGGTTTGCTCACACCAGGAGTGAGCGCTCTGGGGCAGAGCGCCCTGAAGTCACGCCCCTCCCCACCCAGACCACGCCCAAGCCCCCACCAAGCTCCTCCCCGAGGCCCCCTTGGGCTCTATTTCCTCCCCTGTGGGTGGAGGCTCTGTGGCGAGCACAATCCCTCGGTCCTGCGCCGTCAGCCGCGTGTCTACGGCATCTTCGGGTTTGCTGATTTCCACCCCGCCTGGGCCTCCACACATCCGCTTGCACCCCAGGTAAGCGAGTGCCCCTCTCCGGGGGCGCCGGCCCAGAAGCAACCCTCGCAGCGACCTCCAGTCTCGCCTCCCAGGCCAAGACCAGCCAGACTCGGCCCCAAGGTAGGGTCAATGAGCTCCCTATCATTCCGTCCACAAGGTACTTCTCAGGGTTTCCCAGCAGGTCGGGGCTCGGGCTATCTTTTCCAGAGAGTTTTGGGCCCCCGAGGGCGAAGGTGAAGGTGGATGTGACTGGAAAATGAGCGGGAGCGAAGAGGGGCTATCGTGGCCCCGTGTTGCGGGGAATCCGGATGTATGAACGGGCGCTGCGTCACAGGAGTGTCTGTCACCGGAGAATCGGTGCCGAGCTCCTGCTGGGTGCCGCGGACCGGGCGATGGCCGCAGACACAGCAGGGCATTGTCTGGGAGCCGCGTAGACCGGCCCCTGAGAAACGTCTTTAACAGGATTGCAACGTTTCAGCTGGTGCCGGGAGCGTGTAGAGCGCACATCCTAAAACTGGAGCTAGAGGATTAGAGTGTCTTGAGAGAGCCCCTGGGTGTGTGAGGGAAAGGGCCAACCGCAGCACCTGCTATGGAGTGCTCTCTGGACCCGGGCAACAACATCCCGGGAAAGGCCCAGGTTGATGTGTTTGCAGATCAGAAAAGAGGCTGACGTATCAGAAGTGTATACAGGGAACAAAGAAGGTAGGGAATGGTTGACAAGAGATTGGAAGACAATGAGGAGCCCACAGTTCCATTCTCAGGGCTATGCATAGGAGGGATGCTTCAGCCAGCAAGCAGCAACCATCCGATTGTGTCTTGAGAGGAAGAACCTGCAGCCTATATGTGGGGGAAGGTTGAAAGGACCTGGGCAGAGGCAGCTGGCAGGACCTCTGATGGAAAGTGTGTGAAGAAATGAGAAGTTAGAAATTCTTTATTTCCTCCCAGAAGAACTGTGTTTCATGCATGCTTGGAAGCTGGCCACGAGGGAAGGCCTGTGTGGAGACAGAGCTGGGCTGCTGAGGGAATGGAAAGGGCCTTATTATTCCTTCTTTAGGACTAGGTTGAATCTAGGGCCTTATGCGAGGGGCGCACTCCTCCACCGAAACACTTTGGTTGCTTCCTTCCTTTATATGTGTGTGTGCTCACATGTGGTGTAGGTGTGTGTGTACGTGTATGTATGAGCTCAAGTGTGTGGAGGCTGGAGGTTGACTTCTTACGCATCCCTCAGTCACTCTCCCCACCTTATCTTCTGAGACAGGGTCTTTTACTGTTTGTTTTGGCAAAACAAGCCACCTGCCTGCCTCTTCCCTCCTCCCTGCTCCCCCCCCCCCCCCGAGTTACAGGCACACATCACTGTGCCCATTTTTTTCCGTGGGTGCTGGGAATCTGAACTCAAGTTCTTCTGCTTGCATAGCCAGCACTTTACCTACCGAGCAGTCATCTACCTAGCCCTTATGTTTTATTTTGAGACAAGACTCTCACCAACTTGTTCATTCTGGCCTTGAACTCATTCTGTTGACCTGGCAGGCCTTGAACTTTAAGTCCTCAGACCTCAGTTTGTCAGATAACTGGGTTGACAGATGAACCATAGACCTGGGCATGGAGGGGCCCTTTATTTCTGGGATGTGGAGGTAAGAGGAGGCTTGTAGGACCCAGCCAGGCTTGCAAAACCCATGAACTGCCTGGGATATGGAGATACAGGGCTCCCCAAGACTGTAGTCTGAGCCCCACCAAGGCTCTAGGCAGCGGCGTGGCCTCTGCTGGGGTGAGCTGAACCCATTGTCTGGCTGGAGCACTGGAGAAGAGGAATCCTAGACTGGGAAGTTGCCTTGGAAGCTCTCTAGCCTGTACAGCTGGTCCCTCCTAGTCATAGCTGCTGTCTGGGTGGAGTTCCCAGAGCATCACTCAGCCTGCCTTGAGTCCAGCCGAGTCACAGGGAATATTGGGAATGTTTTTGGCCTCCCTTCTCACTTCACTCATTCCCAAAGGGAGTGTTTCCAGGAGTCAAGGAGCGAAGGGGCAATGGATATAAGCTGAGAGCTCGTGGCAGTGGGAAAGGGTTCCAACTTTCTGTTTGCCAATCTGGGAAATGGGTCTGCGATATCTTTTCTCTGAGAGTATTGATGAGCCCTCAGCTACGGATAGTGCTTGACAAATCTTAGTGCCTTTACACTCTTGAGGTCCTGGGAGTGGCCTCCACGCTCCACTCTGAGATAAGAAGAACACTATCCCCTTCATACCCAAGGCCATTGGCATAGTGCCTGGGAGCCAGTGATCATTTGGCGAAGGAGCCTCTGGGCTTACGAAAGATGACAAGGAGAGTGAACAAAGGTCTCTTCCTCCCACTCCTGGGTTGACATAAGAAATCATTGCAGCAGGGATGCTCCCCTGTGATCTGGGTGCCCCAGGATGCCACATTCTACTGCCTGGGCTCGTACCTACCTCCTGTTTGAGTGCTGCAGCCCTCAGGCTAGTAGGTTTACCTCATTTTCCCCAGCTGTAAAATGGGAATGATACCACTTAAACACCCTGTATAGTTAGAGAGCTGAGGACAATGCCTAGCTAGTAATCAGTGACTGATGAAACCAGCCTGTTATAGTGCAGAGTTCATGCCTCAGGGCAGAACCGAGTACAGTAGCATGACTTGACCCAGGGAGAGTCAGAGAAGGCATCCTGAGTGGGTGACAGTGATTCAGCCAAGGATGGATAGCTGTGTTCACTGGACAGAGAAGCAGCATTGCAAACTAAAGGATCAGGAGGTACAAGGCTCTAAGCACAGAACAGAGGTATGAAAGGGTTTTGAGATCCCTGGGGGCTGGAGAGGTTGATCATTGGTAAGAGCACTTGTTTTTGCTTGCAGAGGACCTGCGTTCAGATCCCAGCACCCCCATCAGGTGGCTCACAACCATCGGATGTAACTCTAGCTACAGGGAATTTGATGCTCTCTTCTGTCCTCTTTGGGCATTGCAATCATGCCCCCCCTCTTTTTCTCAAAACAAACAAAAACCCCTTGAAGTCTGGAGGGTAACAGGATGACTAGACCTCAATGGGCAATTTAGAGACTATTCTGACTCCAGAGAACAGACTGCTGGGTGTGTGTGATGCTTATGAGGGCAGGAGCCAGGAGACCCGAATAGAGGTGACTTATCTGGTTCAAGTGATGGGACTGTATCAAATGGATGTTTGGGTGGGTGGATGGACTAGGTGGGCTGGGGCAGCCATTGATATGTGTGGCTAGCGTGAGGGGAACAGATTACATTCAGCCCAGCAATCTGTTTCTGGTATTTGCCTCCTATCATACCTCCGGATAGCAAACTGGTGGAGGAGTGGCAAAGCACAGGCTGTGGAGGAAGAAGATGGGAGCTGGCTGGAAGGGAGGGCAGGGAGTAGGTGGGAGCCAAGAGCAAAAGGCACTGTGGGTTAAGTAAAGAGGGAGCCTGGCCAGCAGTGTGGTGAGCCGTTGGGTAAAGGCCCCTGCTACTAAGCCTGATGACCTGAGGCTGATCACCAGTATCCGTATGGTGGAAGGAGAGAACCAACTCTTGCAAGTCGTCCTCTGAGATATAGATATGATGGCACTTGTGTAACCACATCCACACACCCACATGAAAAAAATAAAATTGTGAAAAATAATAAGAGAAAGGCTGTGTGGTGCTGGAGACCTGGGTCAAGGCAGAACTCTTGCCTAGCGTGTGTGAAGACCTGGGCCACATCCCCAGCACTACAACAATAAAAACTGTCTCTGAATGCCCTGCTTGGGTAATTCATGGACAGGAATCTTCCTCCCTTATGTACCTGTCCTTTTACAGCATTTTTACTTTATTCATAGTGGGTCCTCCCCACATTATGTGTGTATGTGTAAAACTTGTAGGAGTCAGTTTTTTTTTTCTTACCATGTGCGTCCCAGGGACTGAATTGAGTCATTTGGTAGGAAGTGCCTTTACCTGAGAAGCCGTCCTCCCTCCTCCTTCAGACCTTCTCTAGGTCCTCTTTGGTCCCTTTCTAATAGGCTACCTCATACTCAGAGTAGCTCTTGTCAGAGGAACGTAAAGAAGCCTGTCTCTCCCCTCAGTTTGGACTCTGTATCTTTCTAGTGTGATGATGTTATATGTCCCAGAGTGGCTTGCACTCAGCTCCTTTTGGGCTCCTGAAGCCATATTTTGGTCTAAGGTTCCATGACTGTCTAAAAAGGGATTTTTCTCTCTTAGTCACATCCTGGTGTCCCCATTTGTCCTGATTTTTGGCTTTATCTTCCTCCCATCACTGTTTGTGTTATTTGTATCCAAATCTATATTGGGTGGTTTTGGGAAACCTTTGTTCTTGGGGGAAGGGACAGGGAAAAGGATGAGGAGGCAACCAGATAATTCTGTGGAGGGAGAGCACTCCAGGCAGAGGGATGAGCAGGTGCAAAGGTCCCGAGGCCACCACAAGCTTGGTATGTACTGGAGACTCAGCAAGGAGGCTGGTGTGTGTGTGTGTGTGTGTGTAAGAGAGAGAGAGAGAGAGAGAGAGAGAGAGAGAGAGAGAGAGGGAGAGAGAGAGAGAACATGAACTAAGAGGAGCAGGCAAAGATCCTGAAGATTCTCAAGGACCTGAAGACCAACCACAGCAACCCTTGGAAGATCCTTACCCCAGAGAGGATGGGTGGGTAGTTAGAACTTTTTGCTTTGTAATTTTGTTCTATATGTGTGTTGATGAATTCAAAAAAAAGCAGAAGACAGGACTACACCTCTCCCCACCCCCCACTCAACCAGGGCATTACATCTTCCCTTTGCACATGGTGGGATTGCGCAGGGAAACTTCCTAGCGGGGTCCAGATTTCCTTCTTGCCCAAGGGTAGAGAGAAGGAATTAGCCAGGGGAAGAACTCCGTTGGTATGGAGGCAGGGTTGATAAAGGCCAGGTAATACTTAGAGCAGAGTAGCCAGTAAGAGGAGCCTGAAGACACAAAGTTGCGGAGAAACCACAGAGGCCAAGCACATGTGTTCTGAGGATGGGGCAGCTACTGACCAGTGGCTACTTTGTTCCCAGGGAGTGGAGATTAAACTTCTTCCCTCTCCCTGTACTCTCACATGGGCAAGCGCTGGTGCCTGACTCTCGGCACCCTCCCCACTCCTGCCACAGACTAAGGCATTCCATCTGCTCCGACTTCACTGAGCTTATTTCGATCTGAGTTGCTGGGGGTTAAAAAAAAAAAAACAAACTGAAATCCAAAATTAATTCATTCTGAGGCAGAATCTCACAATGTAGCCCTAGCTGCCCTGGAACTCTTTATGTAGACCAGGCTGGCCTTTAGTTCACAGACATCCCTAGTGGTGGCTTTAAAGGTATGTGTCACCATGAGTCTTTCCTGAGTTTGGATAGTATATTGGGCAGTTGTTCTCTGTCCCTGTCCAAATCGGTGGCAGGTACTCTTTGACCCTGGTTCTGCTCTATAATGTGGCAGGTGTAATGGGCTTACTTCTGGGTTGGAGGCAGAGGGTCTGGACATCTGGGAGATGGCAGGGGACACAGACAATGACGGAGGCAAGAGATGCAGGTCTCAGGCTGAGCGACTGTTGAGAACAGTTCTGTGTGGATGGCTGACCCTTGACTGCTCTCACTTTATTCCCTCTGTTGTGGCCATGTCACTGTCTCTGTTTCTTGAATCCAGGGCCTGGTCCTGCCTCAGGGTCTTTAGACTGGCTGTTGACTCTGGCTCGAATGTCCTGTTTTGCTTCTTTGTCTTCTGCACTTAAAATGTTGCCTTCTCAAGGAGTTTTTATTGACCATTGTTTATCTGTCTGTTTCCTTTCTCTTTTCCCCTCTTTCTTTATTCTTCCCTTTCATCCCTTCCCTCTCTTCTTTGTGTGTGTGTGTGTGTGTGTGTGTGTGTGTGTGTGTGTGTCTCTGCAAGCACAGGGGGAGGACAAACTCAAGTGCCCTTCCTCAGGAGCCATCTTTCTTTTCTGAGACTGGGCCTCTCACTGGGATCTGGTGCTTGCCAATTAGGCTAGGCTGGCTGGCCAGCAAGTCCCAGGAATCTTCCTTTGTTTTTGCTTCGCAAGTTCTGGGATCACAAGTGCACACCCCTTGGCCTGGCTTTCTTTTTAAAAAGTGCTTTCTGGAGATAAAACTCAGGCCATCCTGTTTGTGGCTTACACTTTATTGAGAAGCCATTTCCTCTGACCTAGGTCTTTCAAATGCAGCCTCTGGGCTCCTTTGGATCCCTCTTCACTTTCTCCTCCAGGCCTTATTCTGTCCTCAGGACTAGCTGCTGACTGATACAATGAAACAAACTGATTAACAAAAAATTAGTATGTATCTCTCCCCCATGCTTTTAAACACATGAACTCCTGAGTTAGCTATACTCAGTTCCCTGTGGAGATTCCCACGTGTAGATCAGTATCTCGAGCATGGCAGGTACCAAAAAAAAAAAAAAAGAAAAAAAAAAAGATGACAGGCATCCAGGTACTTGTGGATACAGCCTAAGTAGAGATCAGGCTGAATGTTGACATGAGGCTCAGTTTGAGTAGAGGTTTATAAGACAGATAAGCTCACCTTCTGGGTCTCAGCTTTCTATTTCCTCCTTTATGATCTTGAGTGATCCTGTGCCTCAGTTTCCCCAGCAATCTGCAAGATGATAGAAGCAACCAGTCCTCAATGGACAGCTCAGCTGTGGCTTTCTGGAGACGTAGGTAGAGACCAGAAGGACTTAGGGATGAGTCTTATTTAGTCAGAGATTCCTGGACCTCACATCCAGAAACAGAGCATTTAAGATTTTTCTGTGTATGTGTGTGTGTGTGTGTGTGTGTGTGTGTGTTTCCAGAAGCAGTCTGAGGATGTGGCGATTTCCTTTATTTTGGTTGGTGTAGGCCTCTCTGGGAGGTACATTTTGAGCTGAGGCTGGATTTGGAGCTGGCCATAGACACTGCTAGTCAGGGTTCTCTAGGGTGGTGGTTCTCAACCTTCCTAGCGCTGTGACCCATTAATACAGTTTCTCATGTACTGGTGACCCCCCCCCACCGTAAAATTATTTCACAGCTGCCTCATAACTGTGATTTTGCTTCTGTTATGAATTGTGATGTAAATATCTGATGTATGATCACTGTGGGGGTCAAGACCCACAAGTTGAGGATTACTGCTCTAAAGGAACAGAACTTAGAGAAAGAATGTATCTTACAAAGGGGATTTATTAGGTAGGCTCGCATAACATACACTGGGCAGTCCAGTAGTGGCTACCTGCACACCGGAGTGGGTGACAACTCAGTAGTTGCTCAGTCCTAGAGGTTGGGTGCCTCAGTTGTCCCAGTTTGTCACTGAAGGCCTGAAGGATTCTCGGAGAGTCTTCAGTTTCTAGTGTGGCTAGAAAGTCAAAGGAGATAGGTTGTAGTGTTAGTATAGGTTGGTGGCAGCAGAAACAGCAACAGTAGATGCACCCACCAGCAGCCAGTGAAGACAAGTAGGCAAAAGAAGTCCTGTTTTCTCCCCAGACCTCTTTATATCTAGGCTGCCATCAGAAGATGCTGTCCACACTGCGGGAGGGTCCTTTCCCTTTAGTTAATTCTCTCAGGGGATACCTTCAACTGATCCTTAGAGGCACATCTCTTAGCTGATTCCATAATCTGATCAAGTTGACAACCAAGATTAGCCATCAAGGTGGGAACTGGTGCACTTACTACCTTCTTAGGTAGCCCTATTCTAGGGGACGAGACAGGTGCCTGGGCAAGTAGTTGCAAGGCAGAGTAATCCTAGCCCAGCAGAGGCACTGCAGTCCCTAGAAATGATGAATCCCCTAAGCCAGCGTGGGAATCCTGGAAGGCTTCTTGGAAGCAGTTGCCGGCAGTTTCTCACCTGCAAGGTCAGCTGGGTCTCAGACAGTGGTGACAGGAAGACTCCGCTGGAGGGAGCAGCCCAGCCAAAGACCTGGCATCATAGGTCGGCCCGGTGTGCTGTTTCTAAAGTTTGAATGGATCTTCGGAATCTGTGGACCTAGAGTGAGAACCGCAGAGTCAAGGAGATCAGTGGGGCTGGGTGGAGTGGTAGGAAGAACTAGGTAACTATGGAGACCTTAATTGACAGGCCAGGAGCCATAAGAAGCCCTCAGGTTTGTGGTCAGAAGAGATAGGTTGGGGCTATGAGCTGCTATTGGACTGATGTAGGAGGGCCAGAGTGGATGCCTTCTTTCTTGCTGCTACCATCAGTGAGTATCATACCTCTGAACCTTTAAGGCTATGATATTTTCACTGGGGACCCACTTTTTGAGCTATATCATTGGCAAGGACCCTCAGCCCACCCATTCAAGCTAAAAGAAAGACATGTTCCCTGTGCCCACGGCTGTTCTTGTCTCCACAGGGTATTGCCACAAAGCCTGTGACATCTGGAGGGCCACCTACAGATTGGTGTCCTTCACTGCAGCTCTCCTCTCTGCTTCCTTCTCTCGGTACAGGGTCAGAGGCAGCATAGATGCTGTTATATTTTTAGAACAGACAAGCCTGGGATTGGAGAGATGGCTCACCTGTTAAGAGTGGATGTGGTTCCTATGGCAGATCTGCCTCCCAGCACCTCTCAGTTGGCTCACAACCCCTGTAACTCCAGTTCCAGGGAATCTGATGCCTGCTTCTGATGTTTTCATGCACTTGCATTTATGTGTACATAACCACACATAGACATATATATTACATATAATTAAAAATAAGTCTTTAGTAAAAGTGAAACAAAAAGCAGCAACCACCCCAGGCATGGTAGCACAGGCCTTCTATCACAGGTACTTTGGAGCCAGAGGCAGGAGGATTGTAAACCCAAGGCTAGCCTAGGAAATTCAGTGAAACAGTTTCTCAAAACAAGCAATAAAAGAGGCTGGGAATATAGCTCAGTGACGGAGCACCTGCCTAGCACCTCCCAGTGAGGGCATGGAGGTATGGCTCAGTGCTAGGATGCTTGTCTAGAACCAGTGTGGTTAGGGGTTCTAGTACACACACACACACACACACACACACACACACACACACACACATCTAAAACCAAATCAAACAAGATTACAGCAGTAGCTACTTGCCTCAGCAGCTCCAGGATGGAACTTGATTTTGTTTTACTGTGTTTGTTTTTATGGCCACGTTGCTCTCCTTGCACAGATGCTGGTTTGCTAAGGGAGGAAGGGAAAGTCTCTTTGAAAATAAACAACAGTCATGTGACTTTAATGACCTAGAGGCACCCTAGGACATTTGGCAGTAGGTGAGTCCATTTGTAATATGAATACTTGTTCCATGTGGCTTCTGGTTCTAATACAGAGAATTTAACCAAGAATGGTTGAACTGGGGATACAGCTCAGTTGGTAAAGGGCTTGCCTAGCATACATAAAGCCCTGGGTTCAACTTCAAGCAGGGTGGTGCATGCCCCTATCTCAGCATTCAGGATACGAGGGCAGAATGAGAAGTTCAAGATCACATTTGGCTGCATAGGGAGGATAGGATAGTCTGGGATCCAGGAGACCATATCTCAAAACAAATAAACAAAAGCCCAAAGAACCCCTCAAAACTCCGATAATAGCAAAACTTTTAAACAAGCAAACAAACCAACCCAAACTCTTAAAAACTTAGAAACTAGGGGTGTTGGTGCATGCCTTGGGAGGATGAGGCAAGAGGATGGCAAGTTTGAATGCATGCATGCACACGCGCGCGCGCGCGCGCACACACACACACACACACACACATACACAGAGAGACAGGCACACATGCATGCATGGATGCATGCACGCTTGGGAGTGGGGAAGAGTGAGGGAGAGAATATGAGGATGGGGGTCTCTGAGATGGCTCAGTGAGTAAAAGTGCTTGTTTTGTCATCCTGAAGACCGGAGTTTGATTCCTGGGGCGCACTCAACACCGTAGAAGGAGAGAACTGACTTCTCAAGGTTGTCCTTTGATCTCCACATACACACGTGACATGTATCCATGCATAAATGCACAATAAATAAATTATAAATAATTGATCAAATAAATAATTTAAAAACAGAATAGCGTTCTGGGATATAGCTATGTGGTAAAGTGCTTGCTTAGCATACAGCCCTGGTTCCATGCCCACCCCTACCCCAAATGTATACAGTATAGTAATCACATAAACGGGCAGCACAGGCTCCCATTATCATTGTGTTAGTCTGCTTTCTGCTAGGTGTACTTTGCCTGAGACTTCCAGAAGTTCCAGTTTATGACTGGGTGGGTATTTGGTATTCTTGTTTTTGAAGGTGGGGGGTAGATGGTAGAGTCTAGGCCCAGCAGCCATGTGTAGAAAAGAAAAGAAGTGTAGTGGTGGGATGGCTTAGGGGGACATGTCTGCACAAGAAATGACGAGGCAGGGTTGGATATGTGAATTTGGTCTTGACAGGGAAATCTGGAAATTCATGGTGTGGATGGGCTGAACATCACTTCTGAGCGGGTGAGCTTCCTCAAGGTCAGTGACAACAGATCAAAGACTAGCATGATTTGAGGACAGAGGAGAAGAAGACAGCCTGGATTGGAGCTGGAGTCGCTGAGAGGTGGTGAACGAGCAGGTCGAGGTTCTTGGAAGCAGTCATAGATAGATGCCTTGTTAAGGGCCATAAACCCTGGGCAAGGAATCTGGTGAAAGGTGAGGCCCTTAGTGTAGGGAAGAACCGTGAAGAAGTGTACTTACCTTCCAGCTGGCCATGGTGGCACACGTGTTATCACAGCGCTCAAGGGGCTGAGACAGGAGGAAATCAGCCTTGAGGCCACAGAGACCCCCCTCTCAAAACAAAGAAATGGTCACTGAGATGGCTCAGCAGGTAAAGCAGTTTGCTGCCAAGCCTGACAATCTGAGCTTGGTCCCCAGAGTCCACATGGTGGAAGAAGAGAATGGATTCTTAGAGATTGTCCTCTGACCACCACGTAAGTGTTGTGGCCCAAATGCTGAGTGCCAATAAACCAACAAACAAATAAATTAGTAAAAACCAAGCAAGCAGCCAAACCAACCAACCAACCAAACAAACCTTTGTTTCTTTTCTTATTTCTTTAAAAATTAATTTTGTTTTCTATTATTTGTGTGGCTGCGCGCGCACACACACACACACACACACACACACAGACTTGTGGAGCCCAGAGGTAAACTCTGGGTATTTTCTGCAGTTGTGCCCCCGGCCGCCCCCCCCCCCCGGGGGTTTTTATAAAAAACTAGATCTCTCACACTGCCACACCTGGCTGTTATGTGGGTGCTGTTTAGCAGAGGATGACTTTGAACTTCTTAGCCTCCTGCTTCTATCTACTGGTTTCAGAACTATAGTCTGTTTCCTAGGAGAACCTGGGTAACATGGACCTCACAGGCCCACAGTAAGGATTTACATCATATGGACCAGGCACTGGGTCAATGCTTTCTTCAAGAGTTCTTTTCCCCTCTCCCAATCATGCACGTGTAAAGATCAAAGGACAACCATTGCCTTCCGTGACCGAGGCAGGGTGTGGGGTGACTACTAGGTGAGCCATGAGTTTCCCCAGAACGTCCCGTGTTAATGAAGCAGTGCTGAAATTGTAGACACCTACTCACACTCTTGGCTTTATAGGGGTGCGGGGAATCCAAACCCAAGGGCTATGTTATTGCAGTAAGAGCTTTACCCATTGAGCCATCTCCCAACCTTTTAATTTTTTATTTTATTTTATTTAAGATTTCCTTTTTTTGAGACAGGTTTTCATGTGACTGAGGCTGGTTTCTACATTTCTGATTCTTCTGCCTCTACCTCTCCAGCTCTGGATAACAAGTCATCACCTCAGCTGTACTTATTTAGCACTGGGGATGGAACCATTATTTCATGCATGCTAGATGAGAGCTGTACCAACTGAGCCACATCCGCTTGGTCACCCCCCCCTCATCCTCTAGTCTTCTAGTCCTACCTACATGTGTGAGAGAACTTTTCGACATTGTCCTAGAAGCTGTTCAGGCTGTATACATTTTTAGTTTTTTAAAAAATTTTTGTTTTATTGTGTTTGGGTGCAAGTATGCCATAGCCTTCTCTCTAGTAGAATTTTCAGAGTCAGTTTTTCTACTTTCATCATGTGAGTCCTAGGGGTTGAACTCAGGGCTTCAGACTTGACAGCAAGCACCTTTACCTGCAGAGATACTTTGATGGTCCCTATACATTCTTACTTAATGATAAACTATGTAAAGCATAAAATGGACCTCCCCTCCCCTTCCCTGCCCTCTTCCTGTTTCTCCTCTCCTCTTCCTTCCCTTCTCTTCCTTTTTAGGAGTCAGGGTCTTGTTGTGTAGCAAATGCTAACCTGTAACTCATGATTTCCCTGCTTCAGCCTCCTGAGTGCTGGATTACAGGCATATGAATCTTCATTTGGCTCATTTCTGGCTCTGGCCGTTGTCTAGAGCAGTCTTGTCTGGTACCATGTTGTGTGATGATCATCATTGGCAGGCATAGTGACTGCCAGTCATATGTGGCAGTGAATGTGTATATATATATACATATATATATATGTATATATATATAAATATATAGCTGGTAAGACTGAGGAACTAAGTGTGTGTGTATTCTCACAAGTGTGTTGTTGGTGCACATGCATGTAGAGGTCAGAGGTCAGCTTCAAATGAATTCTTTTATTGTTCTGCATTTTTTTTTTAAGACAAGGTCTTTCACTGGAGCTTACCAGTTTGGCTAGATTGACCAGCTGGCTAGCCCTGAGATATGCCTGGTTCTGATCTCCAGGGCTAGGATTACAGATGCATCTGTCATGCCCAAGTATTCTGTGGGTTCTGGGAAGTGTGTGTGTATGTATGTATGTATGTATGTATGTATGTGTTACTGGGGATGGAACTTAGAGCCTGGAGTGTGGCAAGCAAGAAAGAGCTCTACAGCTGAGCTAACCAAGTCCCCAAGACAAACTGGTTTAACTTGAAATAGCCTCGTGCTTTTGGGAGGCTGAGGCAGTAAGATTGAGAGTTTGAAACCACCCTGGCCTCCATAATAAATTTCAGACTAACCAGGGCTAAGTTGCAAGACTCTATCTCTAATTAATTAATTAATTAAATTAAAAAAACTGCACAAGGACTAGAATTTCTAGGTATTATTGTTATTATTATTGTTGTTGTTATTATTATTAGTGATGCTGGCGATTGAGCCCAGGGCTTCCTGAATATTAAGCAAGTGTTCACATTTAGCCTCGCCCCAGCTTATTACTAGTGGATTCTGGGTAGTTTCTTTACCCCTGAACACATTCTTTAGTTTAGTCTCTACTGGAACTTGCCATTCTTCTGCCTCAGCTTCCCTTTTAGCTCTATTTTCTGGCATGCTGCATCTCTCCCAACTCAGGTAGTGTTTTTATATTTTGCCTGAAACATATCATTAGCATCTGTGAGTCTGATGAGGCTGCCTCTGTCATTACCCCAAACTGAACTGTGTTGGTGGTTTTCCATTACATAAATTAGAAATGGGGTCATTAGTATCTCCCTGCATTTTGCTTTGTTTTTTTAATTCTTTGATCTACCCACACCAGACAGCATAACTTACTCTTCTCTCCTGTCATCTCTGACTAACTTTGGGTAATTTTTGTTAATTAGAGCAAATAATTTGGTTGAACTACCTTAGCCACCTTAACCATTTTAAGTGCTCAGTTTGGCATTCCTAATTTATTCACATAGCTGTGCCCCAGTTTACAGAATGTTTTCATCTTGCACAATTCAAGCAGTAATCATTAAACATTAACTTCTCAATTCTCCCTCTTCCTTGCCAAGCTCTGGCAACCTCTAGTCCGTGTGTGTGTGTGTGTGTGTGTGTGTACATGTGCATATACGTGCATGTATAGGTCAGAGGTTGACAACAGACATCAGTTGTCTTCCTCAATTGTTCGTCTAGTTTTTTTAACACAGGGTCTCACACTGAACCTAGAGCTCACTGATTCAGCTAGATTGGCTGACCAGCAGGCCCTGTCTTTCTCTCCACTTCTCCAGGGCTGGGATAGCAGGTGTATGTTGGCATGCCTGATTTTATTATTTAGGTACTGGGGATACCCTTCAGGCCCTCATTTTTTAAAAACGATTTATTTATTTCTATTTTGTGTACATTGGTGTTTTGCCTGCATGTATGTCTGAGGTGTCAGATATTGGAGTTACAGACAGTCGTGAGCTCAGGCCCTCATTCTTGCATAGTAAACTCTTTACCCACTGAGCCATGTCCCCAGGCCTCTGTCCTTTTGACTGCTCCAGGGACCTCCTGTCATTGGAATCATGGCAGTGTTTGCCTTGTCTTCTTTTACTCACTTAAAAGCCTCCAAGGTTCATCCAAGGCCGCAACTTTCTCCCCTCCTCAATTTTCCTGTGGCATCTTAGAGTGGGGAACCCTAAGATTTCTGTCCAAGTGCTGCACGTCAAGATTGCTTCTACTAGGAGAGAAGGAGGGGCTCCAAAGGGAGCTTTTCAGGGGAGGAATGAAGATGCTCATTTTCATGACAGAGGCAGTGATGTCATGGGTTTTGATGTATGTCAAAGTACATCAGAGTGTACTGGGAGTGCATACCTTAATCTCTCAACACTTGGAAGGTGCAGGCAGGAGAAGCAGGAGCTTAGGGGTTGTCACAGTTACATAGTGGGTTTAATGTCATCTGGACTATACTGAGACCTTTCTCACTCCCTCTTCCAAAATAATGTGTGTGTCTGTGTAAATAACCACAAATTTTAAGCACATAGTTATTGTGTTTTCCTTTTCTTTTTGATGTTTCAAGACAGAGTTTCTCTGTGTAGCCCTGGCTGTCCTGGCATTCTCTCTGTAGACCAGGCTGGCCTAGAACTCAGAGATTGCCTGCCTCTGCTCCCTGAGTGCTGGGATTAAAGGCGTACGTCACTACCAGCTTGTGTTTTTCTTTTTTATTTATTTTTTTTCCTACCTTTCTCCCTCCCTTTCCTCTTCCTTCTCTTTTCCTTTCTCCTTTTAACGCCTCCTTTTTGCTCCCTTCCCAGGCCATCACACTGTAGCCTAGGCTTGCCTGAAACTTACCATCCTCTTGACTTAATTGTTTCCAAGTACTGGGATGACAGACCTGCCCGTCATCTTCAGCTGTCCTTGAATGGCTCTGCTCTCACATGCCATGATGCTGGGACCCCTGGAGAAATGCTACTGTGTGGGGACCCAGACCCAGCCATGTTCGTTCCAGGTCTCATGGAAGTGGCGGTGGGGTGAGGTGGTGGTGGTGGGTGCTTGGAGGGCTGACTTTTAAGTCGGGGTGTTAGGTTTCCAGATTTGTGATGAACTATCTGAGATAGCTAACTTTGAAGGCAGAAAGGTTTGTTTTGGGATCTCAGTTTCAGAGGTCGTAGTCCCTGGCTTGTAATGAGGCTGAGCAGACTGCTCACCTCATGGGGTCCAGAGAAGATGGATGAAGGGGAGAGAGGAGGACGGAAGTGAAGAGACAGGGAGAGAGAGATATAGAGGAGAGACGGAG